AACAGAACATACCTTAATATACAAATATAGGTTTAAATGATGGTGTATGTATAACTATTAAATTGAAAATAAATTGTGGGAGAGGGATTTTAACATTGTTATGTAAATACAGAACCAGGTTTGTTAGAACACCATCCTAAAAATACACCAGATTGAAGAGGAAAATATACAAACACAACAATGAAAAGAGGGAATGGAGAGAGTAGTAGAGAGAAAGGCAGGAAGAGGGGAAGAGAAAAGAGGGGGAAAGAAGAAAGGGAAAAGGAGAGAAAGAAATGGGGAGGAAGTAAGAGTAGAAGAGAGGATAAGAAAGGGAAGAAAAGTGGAGGAGTGGTGAAGAGGAAGGGGAAATAGAGAAGGGAAAAGAGAGGAGGAAAGAAGAAAGGAGAGAAGGAGAGAGGAAGGAGGGAGGGAAGGAAAGAAGGAAGAAGTAGGGTTGTTGTAGAATAAGACGGGTGTATGGGATGGTAGAAAAGCAATCTCGGTTATATTGTTAATTGTAGGGGGAGAAAAATTGTTATAAATTTTAAAAGATATTACACATTATTAATAATAGTTATTAAATTGTATATTTGTGAATGTATAAATGAGAAATAAAAATAAAAAACTTTTTTCAAAAAAAAATGAATAGAACATACCTCTTAGATTGCATGTCATCTTTAATTCAAAATATCACACACACACACACACACACAGAGAGAGAGACCTAAAGCAAACTTTCTGCCAGACTGGCTAAATTCTCTAATCCACATCAAGGCACAAGGGTTGGTGTGATCAGTTTTCTTCCTGTGTTGATTGGAAATGATAACCAAGATCCTCATTACTGAGCTTAGCATCTTTAAGAAATGCCTTAACAGGCTCATGTAAAAACAAGCAATAGTTTGTCTGGCACAGATGAGAATTGAGATGTTGAATTGCTTCCTCCTATGCCATTGTGAAAAGGGCAATGTTAACTACTCAGATTATATCCAAGGTGCCTAATATTTTGCTTACCTAGTCATTTATGTTGTCCCAGCAGAAGAAAAGATGGTTTTACCTCCAGGTGATATAACAGGAAGGCTCTAGAGTTCTCCTAATTTGAAAAGGGAAGACTGAATTCTTACACGAAAAAATAAAAATAAAGGAAAAGTTTAATTCTTTAAAGCTTCAACTTTCATTAAAGCAATGAAACTCATGGGCCACAAACCAATCTCCCCTTACCATGCAATCCCTTTATTTATTTACTTATTCCACTTTTATTATTTTTACAAATAATTCAAGGTGGCCACCATACCTAATACTCCTTTCTCCTCCTATTTTCCCCAAAACAGCAACTCTGTGAAGGAAGTTTAGCCGAAAGAAATGTGATTGGCTCAAAGTCACCCAGCCTTCCTTCCTGGCTACGGTGAGACTAGAAGCTATGATGATTGGCCCAACATCATTCAATTGGCTATCATGGCTAAGATGGGACTAGAATTCATAGTTTCTTAGAAGAATTCAAAATCTCCTGGCTTCTAGCCTTAGTTTTTTAACCACTAGACCATACTGCCATTTCTTCTATTGTAATTCAAACCCTGTTGCAATTACTTGCCATCCATCTCATGAATGGTTGATTTCATACAACATTGTGAATAAAAATGTGGGTTGCTTTCCTGCAACGTGGTGGTTGTGTGGCATAAACACATCTATTCCAATAAGTAAATTGGAGTACAATGTGCTACATAAATAAATTCAATGTATGCATTGCATAGGACCAGTGGGCAATCATTGTTTTTCATCAGTTCATGAATACTTTATTTTGAAAAGCCGTTACATATAGAATTGCATATTTCTTTAAGTAAACATTGTAAATAGACTTGTTGTAAGCTCTGTGTAAGCTTGTTAGTTCCAACCACAGTTATCTTTGGTCAGCTAACATTTCAGGAAAATGGATGTATTAACAATGCAATCTTATGTCTCTTAAGTCCCACTGAGTTTAGCTGGTTTTGTAAAGTATATAGAATTGCAACAGTTTTTTTTTATTTGCTCCCTGCTTGTCGCCCTAATTTTTTAACACATAGTCTGTTTTCATCCTTGCTCATATCTTCTTCTCAAAACATGCCCACACATCCTACAATTAAATGTGATTAGTAACTGATAAATATAATGCATATTTAAATTTTCATCACCCTTCCAGATAATAATCTGTTCAATTTTTGTTTATTTTAGAATTTCACTAGGAGACTGTCACCTAATTGAATCCAGTCATATTCTAAGCAGATTTATACATTTCCAAATACCAAATCTGAAACCAGATGAAGATTTGTTAAGTGTTTTTGCTTTAATGGATTTCCCAACTTAACTTTCCGGTTGGAAGAATATTAACTCCTTTTGTCTCGGATGGAGTTAAATGCATTGGTACATGGGCCTCCAACCTTGGCAACTTTTTAAGACTTGAGACTTGAAGTCCACAGCTTCTATCGTTGTCAAGGTTGGAAACCCCTGCTTTCAGAGAGCAGCAAGTTGGAGAAAATGATTGAAGTGCCATGTTCTTTCTCCCCCCCCCCTCTCTTGAGACTAGGAGTAAAACCTTTGGTAGCAACAGCTGGAGAAAGGAACACTATAGATCCTGGCCGTGAAGTCGGAGCCAAAGCAGAATGGAGGATCCAGTTACATCCTGACTGGATGAGGCAGCTGTCAGATGCAAAGTTCACTAGGGAGCCAGACTGGAAGCAAGAGCATGGAGTTGGAGAAGGCAAAGCAGAAACTTTAATTTCTCGTTTTAATAAACCCTTTCCTCAACCCACAAATTTGTACAATAAACAACTGGAACCACATAACCCGCTTTGCATGCTGAAACTCAGCCGTGCAGATGGATGGAGAATTGGCAGCTAGACAAATACAGCTTAGTTTGTGCGTTTAACATGTGATTTATACAGGCTTTCTTGAGAGTAGGGGGAGAATCATAATTGGAGGAACATGCAGCGTGCTGGATCTCAGCTTCTACAATCCTCACCAGCATAGCCGCTGTGGTGATGGGACTTAAATCTTGTATATTGGAGGATATCATGAATTTTAGGAAGGCTGCTGTGTAAATTTCGGTTTTAAACTAAGTGGAGATAAGTGCCATTCAAATAAATGGGATTGCTGCCTTCTTAATGAGCTTACCATGAGGGGAAATGGGATTGATGGCATTATCTTATGGCAAGTACAATTAGTCCTGTTTATTTTGATAGAGGCTTCCACCAAACACTTATTAAAACTTAACAGTCAACAAGATCACTCATAACTACCTCAAACACCACTGATTTCAATGAGATATATCTCAGATATGAAGACCTCTCTGCATCTAACCACCCATGGTCTTTTGGGGAAGTTAAATGTCTATCACACAAGTTACGAGATTTACCTTATTTAATGTCGTTATCCTATGCAGATTCTGGCCCAGGTTTCCAAAGCAGCCTCTGAGCAACTTAGGGAAATTATTTACAACTAGAAAGATGGGAGCAGCTTTTTCTGAGTTATTCTGAATTCCAGTTCTGGAAATTGGGGAAATCCCCTTGGCACTAAAATCATGGTTTGTTCCCCCCCCCCCAAACCTGTTGCGTTCCAGATGTTTGGAATTTCCAAAATCCGTGTGCTGGACTGAAATCCAGGGGAAACTCCCTATTAAGAGAGAGACTGTGCAAGAGTTTCCAGAAAAGGTGACACTGAGCAATTTGAAAGGTGGCGGGGGGGGGGGGAATGTTATCATTAAAACAATATGCCTCGCATCTTACATCTTACAATCATAATTGTTTGGAACATTTTGGGGTGGGTGTGTGGTATATATATTTTAACACTTTTAGATAAATATTGTAAAACAGTCTTCTTGGAGTCAGGCAGTCTTAAAAATCAGTTTAATAAATAAAAACTGCTATTTCGGGTGTTTGGATCCAGCCTGTCAGAAATCCAACATATCCAGGAATAAAATAGGGGAGGGACGGAAAAGAGAAGCGGGGTGAGAACACCGCTTGGTTTAATGAGATGCCTAGAAACGCCTTATGGAGATTCAGTCAGTCATCCAGCTTATGGCTGTGAAGTTAAAACTTTACAAAAGGTCTTCACACTCGGCACAGAAAACGGAGAATTAGTTGATTAAATCAACTCTCGGGAGCCCGGGTGTCACGCGCCTTTATTCGTTCATTGGAGAACTTACCTGCCCAAGTGTCAAGTAAGCCATTTACACCTGAGAAGTTTTTTAAAAAAAACAAAAAACCCGACGCACGGGCACGCATCCCACGCCGCGACTCTTTTAAAGGGCCAGAAGCGATCGGCTTGCGGCCAATCCTGGGGCCGAGGCCGATCCACCTTAAGCGAAAGGGCTTAGCCGGGGTCTAGGATCTCCGCCCGGAGCCCTCGTGATAGGTAGTTGGGACAGGCGGGGCGGGGCCTGATTGCCTCGGCTTTAAATAGTCTGAGAGCGCATCCACCGCTGCTGGAGCTGAAGAGAACCAGAAGTTGGTCGACTGGGGGACGGCGGCGCTGCTCTTGTTCACCGAGCTTCTCAGGTGGCGTCGCTTCTCCGGCGCGCCACAAGCGCAATCCGCTTCGAAGGACAGCCAAGCTTTTGGTCTGGCGGGAGCGACCGAGGGGCTGCTGCGTCTTCGGGGGGTCTCCCAGACATCTCTGACACCCCGCGGCTGAAGGGAAAGTTGAGAAAACCAGCCAGAGACGAAGAAGCCGCCGCAGCAGCAAGCGCCGCGTCTCTCATCCCAACTCGGCAGCGAGGGGAAGCGAGATGAGCTTCAGGAAGACCGGAGCCTAGCTGCCCAGCGCAACCGCAGCTGAGGAGCCGACGCCGACGCCGCTTCGTTCACTCACCCTCCGGGTCGGAGGGCGGACTTACTTTGCCGAGCATGGAGCCCCGCTCTTACCTGTTGACCGTCGCTTTTCTGGCGCTCTTCCTGCCTGCCTGGCCGCCGCTGCAAAAGCAACCGACCTGCGCCGCTGCCGCCGCCGCCGCGGCTGCAGCGGCGGCAGCAGCAGCAGCAGCAGCCGGCTCTTCGTCCGCCAAGGAGCTGTCCTGCCAGGACATCACCGTGCCCCTGTGCAAAGGCATCGGCTACAACTACACCTACATGCCCAACCAGTTCAACCACGACACGCAGGACGAGGCGGGGCTGGAGGTCCACCAGTTCTGGCCCCTGGTGGAGATCCAGTGTTCGGCGGACCTGCGCTTTTTCCTGTGCAGCATGTACACGCCCATCTGCCTGGAGAACTACAAGAAGCCGCTGCCGCCCTGCCGCAGCGTCTGCGAGCGGGCCAAGGCCGGTTGCGCGCCCCTCATGCGCCAGTACGGCTTCGCCTGGCCGGACCGCATGCGCTGCGACCGCCTGCCCGAGCAAGGCAACCAGGACATGCTTTGTATGGACTACAACCACACCGACGTCGCCACCGCCGCGCCGCAGCCTCAGCCCAAGCCGCCGCACCGAAAGCCGGCGGGAGGCGGGACGGGCAGGGGCTCCGGGGCTGTGGTGCCGCCTCCGTCCGCCGCGGATCCTCCGCTCCGCAAAAGCCGCCCTCCAACCCCCTGCGAGCCGGGCTGCCAGTGCCGGGCGCCGATGGTGTCGGTGTCCAGCGAGCGCCACCCGCTTTACAACCGGGTCAAGACGGGCCAGATCGCCAACTGCGCCCTGCCGTGCCACAACCCTTACTTCAGCCCGGACGAGCGCGCGTTCACCGCCTTCTGGATCGGCCTGTGGTCCATCCTGTGCTTCATCTCCACCTTCGCCACCGTCTCCACCTTCCTGATCGACATGGAGCGTTTCAAGTACCCGGAGCGACCCATCATCTTCCTGGCCGCCTGCTACCTCTTCGTCTCGCTGGGCTATTTGGTGCGCCTGGTCGCCGGCCACGAAAAAGTGGCTTGCAGCGGCGGAGCGGCGGCGGCGGCGGCAGCCGCGGGAGCAGGGCCGGCGGGCCCCGCTGGAGGCGCTGCGGGGGCTGCCGCCGCAGCCGTGGGCGGCCGCGGAGCTGCCGGCGGAGCCGCGGAGCTACAGCCCGACTTGGCGGTGGCTGAGCACGTGCGGTACGAAAGCACGGGCCCGGCTCTGTGCACCATCGTCTTCCTTTTGGTCTACTTCTTTGGCATGGCCAGCTCCATCTGGTGGGTTATCCTGTCCCTCACCTGGTTCCTGGCGGCAGGCATGAAGTGGGGCAACGAGGCCATTGCGAGTTACGCTCAGTACTTCCACCTCGCGGCTTGGTTGCTTCCCAGCATCAAGTCCATTGCTGTGCTGGCTCTCAGTTCTGTGGATGGGGATCCCGTGGCTGGAATCTGTTACGTGGGCAACCAGAGCCTGGAGAACCTGCGAGGCTTTGTGCTGGCCCCTTTGCTCATCTACCTGGCCATTGGCTCCATGTTCCTGCTGGCCGGGTTCGTCTCGCTCTTCCGCATCAGGAGTGTCATCAAGCAGCAAGGGGGCCCCACCAAGACGCACAAGCTGGAGAAGCTCATGATCCGGCTGGGCCTCTTCACGGTGCTCTACACGGTGCCTGCCGCCAGCGTGGTGGCCTGCCTTTTCTACGAGCAGCACAACCGCCCCCACTGGGAAGCCACCCACAACTGTCCCTGCCTGCGGGACCAAGAGCCGGACCAAGCCCGCCGACCAGACTACGCGGTTTTTATGCTCAAGTACTTCATGTGCCTGGTGGTTGGCATCACCTCGGGGGTTTGGGTCTGGTCCGGAAAGACGCTGGAGTCCTGGAAGTCGCTCTGCACCCGCTGCTGCTGGGCCAGCAAAGGGACCGCAGTTGCCGTGGTGGGGAGTATTGGAGCCAGGGGGGGAGGTGGTGGCATAGGGTCTGCTGCCGCTGTGGGAGGACTGGGGGGTGGAGGAGGGTCGATGTACAGCGATGTCAGCACTGGTTTGACTTGGAGGTCTGGCACAGCCAGTTCGGTTTCCTACCCCAAACAAATGCCTTTGTCCCAGGTGTAAAATCTGGAGTTGGAATGGAGGGATGCTGCACATCTCTCTTTGGGAAGAAGCTTCCCCAGGAGCAGGACAGTCCCAGAGGCCCATGTTGCCAGCCCATTGTCCTCCTGCCTCTTCCTCCATTCCTTGTCAGTCAATCCTTCCATGTCAAAAGCTGCATGTTTCTGTGTTGTTGGTATAAGAATTTTCTGAAGACAAGAATTGCCTTATTTGTCTTCAGCCAGCACAAGCCCCCTTTTGGCCCAGTAGGACTTCTCTGCTCTTTCCCTCCATCCCTCAAAGGTCTTGATACAATGTGAAGGGATGTCTCGCTAATTGACCTCCAGGGGTAGAGGAGTCCCTCAAGAATTTCCCCCTCCCCCCCCTTTTTTAATGCCAACAACCACAAAACTGGCAGATGCCTTAAAATCATGTGCTCAAATCATGTCTTAATTGTACACCCTTCCCCCAGTAAATACGGGTTTATTATGTTAAAGGATGTATTTATATAATTATTGGTACCTTGTACAAAATGTGTAAGATATGTATATATTCCAAATGCTATACAGTCTGTAAATTTCTTTTGTTTAAAGAAAAAAATTTAGAGGCTTGCCACCACTGCTCTTGCCTAAGAGTGAAAAGTTTGAGTATTCTATTTTGTCAATAAAATCATGTCAAATGATTTGTTTGGGAAGGGGCAATTGCCCCCTTGTTGCTGTCCTAGTTATTCCTAATTCTTGACTTTTGAGAAATACTGAGGTTCCCATACAGTACTGCTTAAATAAATGTGCTAACGTATCTCAGTAGAATGCACAGAGGCATTTTCAGTACTTGATCCTCAGTGTCCAGCTATCAACATTCTTGGCTTGTTGGTGATGTTGGCTGGAAAAAAGTAGTTACTGGAATCCTAAAGATACATAGTCAAGAATTCTTGACACCCCCCACCTTTTTTAAATTAACTGGACACAGAAGGGACTTTGGTGCTGTCTGAATTTGGTTGTTTTCTTGCAGACGTTCCATTACCAAACTGGGTTACATCATCAGTGCTCATTTCAACACTGGACTACCAATATTATCCTTTGTTGGTAACTGAACAGAGTCCAGAAGAAGTTATTAAAGCAATGGCTTTTGACCACATCATAGAGCAAAGTGGGACAGGACTACATCTCTTAAGGTGTTGATTCTAAGTGTTGGGTTAATTAGTTTATCCTCAAGTCAATGTCACTCTTAGTAGCCACATTTTCTCCATGATGATCTGCCTATAATCTGGGCCTGCAAAAGTGGCTGGTTTCTCCATATATTGTGGGATGTGCTATAATTCCCAGTTAGCATCTTGATTGGGAATGAAATTTATTTGGGACAAAGGCTTTGGGGTCTTCTTGTTCAGGAATTCTTGCTTTATCCCACAGTAATCAGAACAATAGCATTTCCGTCCCACAACTTTATTGTGACATCTGCCAGTGTGGGAGAATTGTTGTTATCCTTTCTATGGGTTGCCATTGCTTGCTTGTACTTGCTGTTCAGCAGGCCAAAGCTGAGAAAAGTTGAAAAGTGATGGAAAAATAAGCTGAAAACTGGGGGCTTTTATTGATGGGATTCTGTAGACGTGTTTATAAAGTTCACATGAGCTTCCATAGACATCAAATGGTCTGGGAAATGAAGGTGTATGTCACCCCCACCCCCACCCACCCCCATCAAGGCGAGCATTCATTGATTGAAGTGGGAAGTTGTAGAATTAGCAGACTGCTTTACAACAACAGATGAACTTTTTACCTGTCTATCCCAATAACTCAGAGCATCTCTTTTAAACAGAACTCAATGAATAAAGTTAATCTATAGGGATCTCAGCTTCTTTAGAGACAATAAAAAAAAACCCACAAAACTTTGATCTCTTGTCTATAAATGTCTTGTATAGCGGGTTCTGGGGTTTCTTTCTTTAGAAAATTCTTTCTACTGCCCAGTTCCTCTTGTTAGACCAATTTGCCACCATGGAGCTTCAAAAGTTCTTCAATTAAAAGAATGTAAGGCTTTTTTTAAAAAAAAAAAAAGGGGGGGGGGAGACTTGTAACAGTTAGTGAATCCAGAGGAAAAGAACAGCCTTTTAACCAGTTTTCTTCTTAGCTTTGTTAATCAGACTAAAGGCATGTAGAGCCAAGGTTAGAGTATTGTGGGGAGGGGTGGGATGAGAGAGAAATTTCTAAATGCCCTACAGGTGGCCCATACTCTACTTAGAATCGCTCCTGTTTAAAGCATTTTTTGCAGACCAATTATATTTCTGAATTCTCCACTCACACTAACTGGTGCTTCATGGACAAAGCTGCTTCCAAACAGGCCCTTTTGTTTTGTTTTTTTGTTTTGCTTTGCTTAAATAAGCTTTTAAGTTTCCTGCCACTCTTCTCTCTTGCCCCTCTGTACACATACGTTTTAAACCCTAGTTTGATGTGATGATGCATTTTGGGTTGCTTTGAATGGATAGTGGTTGCTGTGGTGGTGGGGAGGGGGGAGGAAGCAATCTAGGTAAGCAGATTACAGACACAGGCAAGACCTCGGTAGCTCAGGACCTGGGCTGCCAGTTTGCTTAGTAGAAGAATCAGAAATTGGACAAAGGGGTACGTGGAGCAGTAGAGATTACAGAAAAGGAAAATTACCAATCTCAAAATAGCTACTGAACTTCAAAAACTTCTGAAACTGTTTCCCAGGACTCTGCCATCATGCCAATGACGAGGGGTTATGGCATTTAAATCTGTAAAGTCTGGAAGGCAGCATTTCTCCCATCTCTAAATTAATGAAGGGGGTAATTCTAGTGCTTTTAACATCAAGAGTGGCCAGTTTTGCTGTTTAAAGCTAAGCAGAGTTGGGCTTGCTATTTCTATATGCAGATTAAAAGCTGCCTAGAGTCATTGTTTGAGATGGGTTCCCATAAAATTTGAACAAACAAATGGGAAGTAAGTAATTATTGGTAAGAAATGACATACATCCATTAATGTATTGAGAGTTGACAACTAAGGATGCCCCTTCTACTTTTTCCTTCTAGAACTTGAAGGAAATAAACTTAAGGAGCTTTGAAATCATGAATTATTTTTTTGTCACACTCGCACCCACATAAACTTTTTTTAAAAAAAACCTGCCGTACTGAAGGAGAACTCAAGTGGGAAGTTAACTTCCTCTTTCTGTGCTTTTCAAGATGACTTATTGTGTTTGTTTCCTTTTATCTCTTTTGTGATTTCAGCTGTTGAAGCCGGACAAAACCTGCTCCAATAAAATCCGCAGAATCAGCAAAAGACAAGTCAGAGAGAGGCTGTTTTGACTTGTCAAGAGAATAATTAGCCCTAGAGGATATTGTTTTACAGCAAATTAGAACTACTTTGCCAAAGAATATTTTCAATATTTTTAGTGCACAATGTAAAGAGGCAAAGGACTAGAAAATAAACATTTTTTGGACAAATTCTGAAATGTTCACAAATGTAGTTCTTAGAATGGCTGTTGTTTGTGCGTTTATCCTTTTTCTTCACTGTAGAGAAAGAATACAAATGAAACGGGAAGAATTATAAAATGTAATAAATTACTGATAATGTAATAAAATGAATGTCTCCAAAAAAAAAAAAAGGTTGCTCAAAAGAAATTGGGCTGGTTCATTAGGAACAGAAGGTTCAAATAATAGTTAAAGCAGAATTCTTTTTTTAAAATCCAGTATATGGGCAATACAATTGCATACTAATGGTGGGGAAAGGCTTTTTGAAAAGTTAGGGATGACTGCCACCTACTGGCCAAAAAGAAAATTAACAATTCTAACTTGCATTCTAATAGTTTAATTTTACTAATTTAAACTATATACACTTACTTTGATTGGAATATTAAATATGTTTGGCTTAGGCATTGAGCATTTTAGGGACTACTGTACTTAGCATCTTCATATAGAAACAAGTATCTGGACTTTTATTTTGGTGCAAGATGAATTTCCTACATTTGTTAGTGTAGGAGGATGACAAGAATCTAATAGCAGATAATCTCTTCTGATTATCTAGGTGTATTTTGCTATGTCCAGGTGCTAAACCTCACAACGGATTCTCAACATCCACATTTGCCAGCTGTGTTTGTATTAATTTTATATCATATATATGAAGAATGGTTACAGGAACTGGGCATGGCTAGCCAAGTGAAGAAAGGGGAGATATGATTGCAGTGTTCCAATATTTGAGAAGCTGCCACAGAGAGGAAGGGATCAAGCTATTTTCCAAAGCACCCAAAGGCCAGACAAGGAATAATGGATGGAAACTGACCAAGGAGAGATTCAACTCGAAACTTCAAGGAACTTTCTGACAGAACAATCAACCAATGGAACAGCTTGCCTTCAGAAGTTGTGGGAGCTTCATCGCTGGAGGCTTTCAAGAAGATATTGGACTGCCATTTGTCAGAAATGGTGTAAGGTCTCCTGCTTGGCTGGGGGGTTGGACTAGATGACCTACAAGGTCCCTTCCAACTGTAAATCTGTTAAATCTGTTAAATATGACAGGGATGGTTTTGTATCTCAATGGGATTGAAGCAGTTATGTGCTTTATGCATACAGTGAAGTTTATATGTAAATTAAAGGAGTGTGCAACTATTACAATCTGCCTCATACTTCTTTGACCTCAACTCCCATATCTCAGGTAAAATTGGCCAAGGATATTCTAGCAGAAGAATCTATGAATTATGAGCCAATTCACATGGAAGACCATGTGGGAGTCTATCTTCAGGAGAAGTGTGGGGAGTTTGGTGCTCCAGATGTTGCTAAGTTCACAATGTCCCTCACTAGTGGCAATATGGCTGCATCTCCTAGGAGGTGAAGTTCAGCAGCATCTGGAGAGCTACAGGTTCCCTACTCTTCATTTGAGACTGCAACGTAAATAAAATGACTTCCAAAATCATAGGATAATTTTGACATTATACTGCTTGATATTAGGCCAGGATGGTGTAGAGTTTTCGCTAAAGTACCAGGTTAGAAACTGCGAGATGGTGAATTCTAGTCCCACTTTAGGCACAAAGCCAGTGATTGACCCTGGATCAGGATTTTTTTTTTCAGTCTTAGGAAGACAAAGGCAAAGACAAAACACTTCCGAAAAACCTTGTGAAGGACAACACACACACACACATACACACACACAAACAAAACTGTTGGGCTAATACCTCACATTCCTCAAGTAGCAAATATTGAATAGCTCATTATACTTTTCAGCTTTCTTGTTTTTAGTACCTATATATCTTCTCTAAAGATTAAAATAGAGCGCCTACCATCTTTTCATCTTCAAACTTCAAAGGATACTTCTTGATAAAAATGTGCTAGAGAGAGACAAAAACTGCCAAATGAAGAATGTGCTTATTGACATTTTGGCTCCGTTGGCAGCATTTATTGGCCTTGACTATATTCCTTAAATTCCAATAGGACAGACCTCAGACAAATGCAAATAGAAACAATGCAGCAATGTGCTTTCTTTTTTTTTTAACGGGGGAAATATCTCCATGTTTATGCTAAAAAAAAATGCAGCGATTTTCTTTAATCTGTTTGCAAAACATCACGTCTACATGTGGATATTCCACAAAATGTATAAACATTGGTAGGCCGCAGTTTAAAATTTAAAAAACTCATACATACCATGCATATTTAGTAAAAAATTACAGATAGCAGCCTTATGAACTAACACTATTTATATATTTCTTTTTATCCTCCCAAATCAATAACATCTTGACTTCAGGATGAATGACACTCAAACAATTTGTAATGCAGAAAGTTCTTAATTCTTTGCAAGTGTTCTCTCTCTCTCTCTCCCTTCCTCCCTCTCTCTGTCTATCTCTCTGCCCCTATCCCTCTCTGTGTGTGTGTGTCTTTCTTTCTCTCTGTATGTGTGTTCTCCAGATATTACACTTGGGTTCTCATAAATCTATATCATAAGATGCACACCACAATGCAAAAAAAAAAAAGAAACAGATTAGGGAAGGCTTGTTCTCTAACAATCTGTAAAAACTATAAAGCAAGTATTTGAAAATGGCACCTCATTGCCTCTAGATGGCCTCATCTTCCTCCAAGTTAACCTTCCCTTCAGCATTTACTCAGTAGATGTGACTGCAGTTTTTCAAGATCTCTTTAGGCCAATGTTTCTCAACTTTAGCAACTTGAAGATGTCTGGACTTCAACTCCCAGAATTCCCCAGCCAGCAAATGCTGGCTGGGGAATTCTGGGAGTTGAAGTCCGGACATCTTCAAGTTGCCAAGGTTGAGAAACACTGCTTTAGGCCTTCATAAATTGACCAACTGCAAATGTGGACCAGATGGGAACAGAATGCCATAAGCAGAATTGGATCAAAGTTAGAGTTCTCAATATAAGAGTCATCTTGGTATAGGATGTGGGGTTAAGGTGCCAGACTAGAACGCAAGACTATCCTTAACCAGAAAACTTTCTGGATTGTTTAGGGCCAGTTGTTATTCTCTCAGCTCAAGCTATAGTACTGTAGGGTGGTTGATGGGAAGATGAGGGGAAGCGATGCTACCTTCAACTTTGGAAAGAAAAGTGGGCTCTGAGTCAAATAGCAACAAATAGTAGCAGATGATTGCTGTATTTTTCAGAGTATAAGACACACCTTTTTCCCTCAAAAAAGAGGCTGAAAATCTGGCTGCATATTATACACTGAATACAGC